GCGCACACCACACAACACGTCCCGCGTGGTGGTGTGCGCGGAACATTGAGCAAACCCTAAACCCTAAACCCCTAAACCCAAAACCCCTAAACCCCAAACCCTAAACCCTACATGATCCGAAAAGGCGTGGTCCTCTGAACCAAAAGCCGGGTTTTTACCCCCATGACTAGCAAAGGGCCGTGCTGATAAGAACTGGGTGGTTGTCAAAATTATGGCCCCCCACACGATAAACCTTAAACACCGAATCCCCAAAAAACCCTGTGCCCTATCTTCTAATTCTAAGCCCTAAACCCTCAACCCTACTTTCAAAGCAACAGATCCTAACAATAACAATTCAAAAAACGGGTAGGGCATCACCCTCTAGGTAGATTCGATGGATAAGTCCTCAAGAAGCACCAGATGTGCAGAACAGCTCTGAATTCTGTGCCCGGGTGCTGTAAAGTTCCACTGCAACTGCTGGCCTCGGTGATCTCTGCACGAGAGTTCTAGGGTTTAGGGTTCTAGGGTTTAGGGTTCTAGGGTTCAGGGTTCTAGGGTTCTAGGGTTCTAGGGTTTAGGGTTCTAGGGTTTAGGCTTCTAGGCTCTAAGGTTTTGGGTTCAGGGTCTGGCCATTCAGGGATCTCGCCACCCAGCATAAAGCTGAGAAAATCATGATTGTGTATAATGAGGTTCTGCTTCTTGGCAAACCCAATGACCAGGAGCCTAAGCATTGGCAGTGGATAGCCAACCTACCCAAGGTTTGCACGGAGCCGTGAGACGATATTGATTTGACAGTTGCGTCTGTGTGCCAGCAGGCAAGCTGCACAAGCTGGGTGATTTAGATCCGCCCGCTACGCTGCAGTAAGCCCGAGACCTTAAACTTCCCGAAACAATAAATCCGCCGAAGCTTTGCAGATTCGTGTTGCTGGTCCTGGTGCTGCTGCAGGTGCTGCTGGTGCTCCCAGTCATGGCAGTGCCGGCAGTGGTAGGCGAGAGAGAGAGAGAGCAGGAGTCTTCTTAAACCCCATACCCTAAATCTCTAAGCAGCAACATGAGATGTACACTCCACGAGACCTACTTCTAATTACCCATGTACCGAGTGATTGATGATGATATTACTTGGAGGGTCGGGGGACTTAGTAAGTGGGTCAGAAGTCGACTTATATGTACCCTAAAAGGGATCCTAATTGGGGTTATGATACTTATAAAGCTATAAAATGACTAGTTACTAAGTCCCCCGACCCTCCAAGTAGGGGTTAAAGATGTTGGGTTTAAAATTCGAAAATAGGGGACCCCTAATATAATACCCTAAATAGTAGGATCCTTATTATAAGGACCCCAAAATAAGGTACCCCTAAATTTCGGAAACTCCCATTTAGGGTTGAAAATTCGGAGGCAGTGGTGAGAGCAATCTCAGCGCCAAGGCTCCGGTACAGGGATCCGCACGGGCGAGGGCCGGGAGCAAAAGACCACCACGACGCGGGCATACTGGTCGCAGAGTGGGAGGCCTTGCAGGACTGTCTGGTGCTTTAGTAGGGAATGGGGGAATGGATCCCTATGGATAGTCCCTTAAGGTCCCTTATGGTAGTCCCTATAACCCATTCTCCCATTCCCGACTAAGCACCAGACAGACGAGGGGGCGTGTGTGGCATGTTGGGTTTAGAGGTGTGGGGCTGTCATGAGCATTCTCGTGGTTCATGGCTTTCGGTGCGGGGCGAAACCCTACAGCACTGTTGACACGAATGCTATAATTTCATACATACGAAGACTAATACGAATACTCGTAATAACTCTAGGATCTTCGCAGAATTTGTGGGTTCTATAAAGGAATTCTTACGCTTCAGCCCTCTGGTTGCAGGGTTCTGGAGAACACTTGGGGTTCAGGGTGCAGGCTTTCGGGTTTCGGGTTTAGGGCTTCGGGTTTAGGGCCTAGGGTTTAGGGCCTAGGGTTTAGGGTTTCGGGTTTAGAGTACGGTTTAGGGTTTAGGGTCTAGGGTTTCGGGTTTAGGGTACGGTTTAGGGTTTAGGGTCCAGATGGGCGTTGCGAGTTTGACAGTCGCTGCAATAACGAAAGACTTCTTGTCCAAGGCGTCCTGAGTCCTGATGCCTCACCCCTTATCTCATTGCGAGGGCTCCAGAGCCCGTAAATACATGGAGACGAACCAGCAAGCTACTAAACACACAACAAATAACAAAGCTAACAAACAACACAAAGAAACGACTCAACAAATAACAAACTTAATGTCACACTATAATAATGATAACAGAAGTGATAGTGAGCAAAACATAAAGACTAGAAGACGAGTGGCCCGAAAGCATCATTAGCCATGAGTTTTGGAGCTATGTAATTGGAGCTATGTAACGTCACGGGGTCGAGTGTATAAAGTCTTAGATGGCAGTGCGTGGAGTCAAGTACATAGAGTCAT